ACCCAAAATGCAGACCAAGCATAGGGAGGAGCTTAGAAAGTCTTTATTAAGTAAATATAATACAAACAACCAAGAAGCAGTGCCGGTGCCGGGAGCACTCAGGTGAGTTAGACAGGCTTGAGAGACTGGGAGGTGGAGCTGGGAGCCAGGAACCAGCAGGTAACTTGTGCATGGCTAGGATGTCACCAGTGTAGAGGTAAGTTGAGCTGGTGAGGCAAGCAGGAAGGAGTAGAGTCGGGGTAGCTGGGGTATCAGGAACACACAGGTGAGTAGAGCAAGCAGGAGAGTGGTCGGAGTAGCTGGAGCTTCAGGAACACACAGGAGGTAAATCGGAACAGGAGACACACCAGCGTTGCTGAGGATTTAGAAACTCACAAGTAAGAAGACAGAAACAGGAGAGTTGACAGCGTCACTGGTAGATCAGGAACACGCAACAGGTAATGCAGGGCAAAGGTAGCGACAGTGTTGCTGGGTGTTCAGGAACTCACAGGCAGTGGGTTAAGACTGAAGTGTGGCAGCGTCGCTGGTACACAGCATGTCGTGCAGAACAGGAGTGGGACAGCATCACTGGAGATTCAGGAACTCACAGGCAAGACAGTTCTGGTAGGAGATAGGACCGGAATGGTGACAATGTGCTCAGTGCAGAGGAAAAGGACAAGAAAGGCCGGGTGTGGTGAGCATCATGAACGTGGTGAGTAGTGATGTTCCCTCTGATACCAAGGCTCCAAAGCACGCTTCAAACTTGACAGGGTATTTTTCTGAAGCATTGTGCCAGAGCTTGCGGGAAAAACCATGTGACTGATGACATTCAAACCACTTCCCTGCTTCATTCAGACTGAATCAGCTGGCCGGTTTGGTTCAATAGGCGGGTTGCCTTGCTATGGAGCCATTGACCTGTGGAAGCTTCTTGACAAAGATGCAGAAGATGCCAGAAAATCCCAGAACGCTACTGCAGATGCCATTGTGGAGGTTCAGCAATATCTGTCTGCTCCTCCTCTGGACAGATCACAAGACCCCTTAGGTTACTGGATGATGCACAAATCCCTATACCAGGGGTAGCCAATTCTAGTCCTCAAGGGCTGCTTCCAGCTTCTGACTGGCTGAACACACCTGAGCCAGGTAATCAGCAGCATGTCAGGCAGGGATAGCTGAAAAACAAGCAGGACAGCGGCCCTCGAGGACTGGAATTGGCCACCCCTGCATACCAATACTTGTCCAACCTGGCCAAACAGTTCCTGGTGACAAGCTCAATTTTCTAGGCTTATCTTATTTTTTGAGTGACAACATACGCTTGCATCACTTAAGCACTTGTGTTACAAACGGTCTTGCTAATTACCAAATTTAACTTGCTACTTTAGGTCAGTTAGCTTAGAAGCCAGCTAAGCTTGTAGCCTAATTTAGAGCAAATATGGCTTCCCCCTGTTAGTGAATGATTTGATAAGTGAACATCACATTGACTTATTGTATCTTACTGAAACATGGTTACAGCAGGAAGAATATGTCAGCCTAAATGAATCCACTCCACCTAGTCACAGTAACTGTCACATCCCTCGAAACACAGGCCGAGGTGGTGGCGTGGCAGCGATCTTTGACTCAAGCCTATTAATCAACCCTAGACCTAAACATAGTTATAACTCATTTGAAAGTCTCACCCTGAGTCTCTCACACCCAAACTGGAAAACTCAAAAGCCTGTTCTGTTTGTTATTGTATACCGTCCACCTGCTCCTTATTCAGAGTTTTTAAGTGAATTCTCAGACTTTCTGTCTGATTTAGTGCTTAGTACAGATAAAATAATCATAGTAGGCGACTTTAATATTCATGTAGATGCCGACAATGACAGCCTCAACAATGCATTCTGTTCATTATTAGACTCAGTTGGCTTCTCTCAAACTAAATAAACCCACTCACTGTTTTAATCACACTCTTGATCTGGTTCTGACATATGGCATCAAAACTGAACACTTAATAGTTTTTCCCCATAACCCTCTTCTGTCTGACCATTTTCTAATAACTTTTGAATTTAAATTAATGGATTATACTCTATGTGGGAAACAATTCCACTACAGCAGATGTCTATCTGGCAATGCTGTTACCAAGTTTAAGGAAATAATTCCATCTTTATCTACTTCAGTGCCATTTGCCAACACAGTGGAAGGAGGCCACCTTAACTTTACTCCAACACAAATCGATAATCTTGTTGATAGTACTGCAGCATTCCTACGTAATACACTTGATACCATTGCCCCTCTGAAAAAGAAGGCAGTGAAACAGAGGAGGCTAGCCCC